CCTTTCGTAACCTCCAAAGACCCATTGTCCTTCCACATGGTGCCCTTTATTATACTTTCGTTTCCCAAATTTGCTCTCGTCAATTTCTACTATTGTATTAGGCCCGCCAAGTTTCTCCTCATTTCCCAACAAACCATTTAGTACCACTTCTCTACAAAAGCTCGCCCAGTCTACTGCCGTTCTTCTATTTATATCTAGTTGAATGCAAATTGCTTCTAATGTAACATTATGAACCCACAAATTTACAAATCCCAAAATTTTAAAAATTGGTAATTTTGATTTCCAAAAAAAACTACCCTTCCTCAAACTGCTTCTGTATCCACATGGCCGCCGTTTTTTTTTGTTAATTCGAACACTATTTTGGCATCGCCAATAATAATGATCAGCCCTAAAATAAAATAAATATATTTTAAATTGAAAATAAAATAGTAACAACCGATACTGTTACAGTTTAAATAATCGGTAAATTACTAAGTCAGTTTATCAAAATCTTATACACAAACATATTATAAAAAATGTTACAACAAAAAATACAACTTACGATCTTGCATCTACAGAAAGTTTTAACGGCTGTTTGCATCGTGGACACAAAAAAGTGCCTTCTTTTGGTATTAACTTCCACTTTTGTAAAAATTCTATCATTGCTACTTTATTTTCACAAATTTTAAATAATTTTACCAAATTTAACATTTTTAAAGATATAATTTTGACTTTTTTAAAAAGAGCACAAAATTTAAATGTCAAAGTAATTATTAGGTATTTTTTGTTTTACTCGGGTCAACTCTGAATAAAAACCGGCAACACTGTAATTTAAAGAAAAAATCGATTTTCATTCAGAAAATCTAAAGTATGTCATAATACAAATTAACAAATTAAAACATAATATTAACTGCGTTAGTTCATCAGCTGATTTTAATTTACAGTTAAAATGGCTTTTTAATGATTATTTCTGTATTTTTTTAATAATTTTACAGTAGATACATCAAAACAAAAATATCGATTTATAGAATATATCGATTATAAACAATAGAATTCTGTCATCGTGTCATCGGATTATTAGTGGTTTATGACTTTTCACTCAAAAAAATGGTGTAAAAATTCAAAATAAAAAACGAAAAAAATAAGGTGCAATAGTAGTTCCGCTAAAAAAAAAGTATGGTACCGAATTATAAACAGTCTATACAACATTTTCTCAAATTTTTGTAAAAATCGGTGAGTTTTGTATGTACTCAAATTTTTCCGAACCCATCATTATCTTTGATCTCAGGATTGAATATTGTAAAATATTTTTCATCATCAATAACAACAACTTTACCAGAAAAATGAACACGTCTCAAAGCACGGCAATATCTCGAAATTCTTTCCAACTGATTGTCGCTATATTTTGGTGCCGTTCTTCGTTTTCAATACTAAAACCATTTCTGAAGACTGTTCTACAAACAGTTGCTTTTGAAACATGAAATCTTCGACCTAACTTTCACACTGACATTCCAATCTTGTTCTTTGCTGCTTCAATTAATCTTCGTTTATTTGCTCGACTCAAAAGTTTGGGGCGTCCACTTTTTGGTAAATTTATGTAAGGTATACCCTCCTCGCATTCTTTTATTGTCTGGTAGATTGTCAAAACAGATATATTTTGGCGCCTATACATTGTGACAATATCACTCTTAGGTACTCGTCTAACCAACTAATACATACCTTTACGAATATCCAGCTTGTACGACATCTTACTTAAATATTTTAACATAAATGACATGTCATATTAAACTTCAAACACTTTGATGCTATTTGTAACCTGATGAGACGTTACTTACTGTAGGTGCGTTTTATTGTAAACTTTTCCGAAAACTTTTGAGATACAGGTTATGTAATTTTCTTATATTATGTCCGGATAATAACTGGAAACTCATTTAAAACCTCTTTTAGGATTACAGAAAGCAAAAATCCTGATTACCCAGTGGGTAAGTATGTTGTAGCAAATTTTGGATGGAGAACACATACCATTTCAAATGGAAAGGAAGAGGGTGTTGTGTTTCAACCTTATATTCTACCAGATTTTGAAGGCTTGCCGATTTCCTATGGTATTGGGGGTCTGGGAAGAATTGGGTGAGTCAATCATAACATTGAAGATGTAGAAAAATAGTTTTTTGCAATTTTATATCAACTCCTCTAATAAAAATATTTTTAGAAATACCGCTTATTTTGGTTTACTAGACATCTGTAAACCCAAAGAAGGAGAAACCGTAGTAATATCTGGTGCAGCAGGAAGTGTAGGTTCAATAGCAGGACAAATAGCAAAAATTCAAGGTTGTACGGTAATAGGCATCGCAGGATCAGACGAAAAGGGTAAATGGTTAACAGAAGAACTTGGTTTCGATCATTTTATTAATTACAAAACTGACGATGTTGAAAAAGCTTTAAAAGCCGCAGCACCCAATGGAATTGACTGTTACTTCGATAACGTAAGTAGAAGAATTACTTTTATTTTATTAGTCAATTCAGAACAGAAATTAATTCATTTAGTAATGTCTAGCATCTACTATTCCATTTTTAAAACTATTTTATTTCTTTTAGTTGCATTTTAATTTTAGATACTTTTTAAATTTTCTCACTTGTTTTCAATTTTTTTATATTGTTTTTAGGTTGGTGGGGATATCAGCTCAACTGTCATCTATCAAATGAATCATTTTGGACGTATTTCTGTTTGTGGATCTATTTCGTCTTACAACAGTATAAATGAACCTGAAGGTACAATTCTTCTCTGTCTATAATTTAATTAACCAATTTATCACTCATCTACCTTATTTTTCAAGACCTCAAATGATAGATCAGAGCAAATTATCTGCGTAATGCTTAATTATATATTTTTTTAGATATTCTTATTCAGTTCCCTCTAGTCTTCAAACAGCTGAGGATGGAAGGCTTTAACGTTTCTAGATGGTCTGATAGACATATGGAAGGAATAAAACAGAATCTTAAGTGGATTAAAGAAGGAAAATTGAAGTGTCGAGAAACTGTGACAAACGGATTTGAAAATATGTTCGAAGCATTTACAGAAATGCTTAAGGGGAAAAACGTTGGCAAAGCCGTTGTTAAGGTCTAGATAAAATAAATTGTTTAGCTTGTGTTTTGCTTTATTTTACAAAGATAGCCTAAGAATATTAATTTTGAAAATTTGTTGATTTAAATTTAAAAATCAATACAAATTACAGGGTGCTTCATTTAGTATTTCCCAGAAAGAACAGAAAAACGTCTCAGTTATAATATGTGAATAGACCACTGTCAGCCTAGAGAATATAGAACCATTATATCCACTTTAGGATACGCAACCATACAGCAAAATATACATAGGGCTGCTCACTAGAAATAATACTATCTCCAATGCTCATGTTAGTTCTAGTAGGCGACCTATTTAAAACACTGTACAAAGAAGGCTACCAGTGCCTGGGATACTAGAACAAACTTAATTATCGTCAGAAGGCGATTGGCAGGCACAGTCTCGGTGCGTTCTCAAACAGCTTTAAACGTAATGAGCAATGGTTGTTGAAACAGGAGCAATTTTCCATTACCGCACAAAAAACAACAGTTGCACCATTAAAAAAAAAAACGGTGAATTATAGGATTAAAATCACTAAAACTAAACAACTGCTAAACAACATGGCTATTCTATTTGTCACAAAAGTCAAATACTTCGGAGTTATATTTGACCAAAAGCTGACATGGAACCAAAAAACTCATATTCAAAGCTATAATAGCTGTCGTAAACTGTGGAAGACTCTGCAGGAAAAACTGGACAAGGGTGATAAGATCCATGATAACCTATGGGACACCAAGTAAAAAAAGTATAATATTCCAGGAATGCCTACTAATATAGCCATAACCACATACATACAAATTACAAAAACATTTTCAACTTCAAATAACAGTACTAGAATCCTGAAAAATGAGACCTCCCACACAGGTTGAACTCGTCTGAAATATAGATAGTTCAAAAACCAAGGATCAAGCCAATGCTGGAATCTTTGAACCCAAGTCAAGAACTACTATAATAGCGAACTAATAGCCATAAAGAACTGTGCCTAAGAAATAATAAAGCAGCAAGTGTCAAACAATACTACTACCAACTAGTCTGATAGCCAAGCAACTCTAAAGTCAATTCTCTCACCAGAAGTCAAATGACGATTGGTGAAAAACTGCTTAGAAGATCTAAAAGAGTTGAGTAGTCAAAAAAGTGGTCTTATCTTAGCTTGGGTGCCAGGCTACAAAGGAGATATCGCAACAACGAAAAAGCCGACGAACTACCCCGAGAAGGATCAGATAAGGCCATGACAGGGCACGAACACTTCTGTGTAATTGCTAAGGCACTGTACAAAGCATTCATCAAACAATGGATACAATATCGACTTAGGTCTTGTGGAACAAGTTCCAGGATAAAAGAGCACCAAGAAAACGTCGGCTAACTTTACGAAATCAAAAACACCTTTAGGATAACAGTGGGCATTCTTACGGGACATTGTAGCTAAATGACTGTCATTATTCCAGCAGAAAACACCACTTTGTGCCGATTTTGTGAAGAAGAGGAAGAGGTCTTGTACTAGTGTGAAGAAAGTCAGGCTATATTGAGGTTTCTACTAATAGGCGAAGAAAAGCCAAAACCATATAGCAACATGCGGGAGACAGTGTCATGTTTTTTGTTTTATTATCCAAGTTAACATGGGCTTTTAATATCAATTCCTTTTTTCATGTTCAACGTAGATATAGGCACACAAAATGTGTATAATATACTATTTAAAACAAATTCTCAGTTCTTACATCTATTTCTTGAAATAATGTAATCGTAGAAAAAATCTTGCGTGCATTTTACACGAAAAGTTCATTGTAACTTTCTGTCTCAAGAAGCAAATTATCACTTTTCGTTCTTAATACATAAATAAGCTACATATATTTGAAATAAAATAATAACTTTTGACTTCAAATTATCTATTGATATCTATCGCACTATTTAATCTTTCAAAGCCACAATTTTTTATTATAATTAATTTCTAAGTAGTTACTATCTAATAATTATTTTCTTATCACATCACAACCAACTTGATTGATAAAATTTTGATTAATCATTTTAGGTGTAAGGTAGATACTCCTATTACATTACTTACCTTATATTACTAGTTTCGTTAATATTTGTACAAATCAAGATGGTTATAGCCAAAGTTTACAAATATCTATATAAGTTTCGAGGATTTCCGAAATTTTCTGATTTAAAATTGGTAGAAGAGGAATTACCAGAAATTGAAAATGGCGGTAAGTATGATGAAATTAAAATTTTAAAATATACTATTCATAACGAAAAAGTAGTCATTTTTCAATATGTGGATATATTTTTTCAACTTGCTATTACAATTATTAACTTTTTCTATATAGTACTTTTTGTTACAAATTATATTTATTAAGTAGAAAAATAACTTTGTATTTATAATTAGTGGCACAAATAAGACTTAAAAAGAGTATCAATGCCAAACTGTCGGGCTTACTTTGCTTGTGTTAAATAAGGAGTGTCAACGCTGTATATCTTAAATCTATTCTTCCAAAATAAATATTAGAGAAGAACCTTTTCAGAGGATTGAAGAAGTAATTGCAGAAATATAAAATAATTCGCATTTGATTAGAAAATCTACACGACAGATTTTGAAAAGACCAAGAAACTGCATTTATCAAAATAGTGGTCATTTTGAGCAATTTGTTTAAAATTAAATTTTAAGCATTAGGTCTTTCATCTCTTTTCATTAGTTGGCGTTTTTGTTGGTTGTTGTTTTACATAGGAGATAGAGGGTAAAAATGTATCAAGAATCACAGTAGTGAAAATGGTGTGTATACCAGTCAACAAGGAAACCAACCTATTGTCCAACCGACAGAAATAAAATACCTGACTTACTGGAATCCTATATCACTAGAAAAATACCCAGAAACTTTACTAAAATAGAAGAACAGTTCGACTTTACAAGAAAAAATGTGTTAGATGAAATAATGACAGCAGACATAAAAGAAGACAAAGAAAAACTGGACCAGATCAAATAAACAAAAATCTGTCATCTTTGCAGATCATCTCCAAACAGTTTTTCAACCAAATGAAGAACAGGGCCTCGATTTACTAAAAGAAGAAACATATTAGAAATTCCTAGGGTAATGCCCAAAGAGGTTACTAAGAAAATATCAATTATAAGAAAGCTCCCGAGTATGATCTGATCACTAGTATAATAAACGCTGCAATTCGACTAAAACATGTACCTAGTATTTAGAAAGTCGCTGTAATTATAATGCTTTCCAAACCTGGAAATCCACCAAATGAAGTAAAGTCCTATAAACGTATGTCCCTGTTACAAGTGCTATCTTAACTTTTTGAAAAACTTTTACTAAAAAGTTGAAACCCATGATAGACAGTAAGATCTGCACCTCACTCTTTCTAGATGTAATAAAAACATTTTCTATTTATTTCATTTTGTATCAAGGATTACAACTTAAAATTTGAACGACAAAAATAAAAAAAAACACAAATTATATAAATTGTTTCTTTTAGAATTTTTAGCAGAAGCCGTATATCTTAGTGTGGATCCATACATGAGAGCCTATGCACCAAACTTACCCATCGGTTCAACTATGATTGGTTCACAAGTTGCTAAGTAAGCAAAACATTAAATATAATTTGATGTTCTCCATTTATGTAACTTCTTTAGATTCTGTTCGCATAATAACAGTAAACTCTTTTTAAAACCTCTCTTAGGATTACAGAAAGCAAAAATCCTGACTACCCAGTGGGTAAATACGTTGTAGCACATTTTGGATGGAGAACACATACGATCTCAAAGGGAAAGGAAGAGGGAGCTGTTTTTCAACCTCTAATTCTACCTGATTTTGAAGGCTTGCCAATTTCCTATGGTATTGGGATTTTAGGATTAGTAGGGTGAGTCTATCGTAATATTCCATATATGTAGAAAAATAGTCTTTTGTAATTTTATGTCAACCAATTCCTCTACAATCATCAAATAATAAAAATATTTTTAGAAATACCGCCTATTTTGGTTTACTAGATATCTGTAAGCCTAAGGAAGGAGAAACAGTAGTCGTTTCTGGTGCAGCAGGAGGTGTAGGTTCAATAGTAGGACAAATTGCAAAAATTCATGGTTGTAAGGTTATAGGAATCGCAGGATCAGATGAAAAGGGTAAATGGTTGACGGAAGAGCTTGGTTTCGATCATTTTATTAATTACAAAACTGACGATGTTGAAAAGGCTTTAAAAGCCGCAGCACCCAATGGGGTTGACTGTTATTTTGATAATGTAAGTAAAATAATTAATTAAATTTTATAGATTATTTCAAAACAGATATTAACCAAGTTGATTTAGTCTCTAGCATCTACTTACACGTTTTTGATACTTTTTTCATTTAATTTTTTGATACTTTTAAATTTTCTCACTTGCTTTATAGGTTTATGTTTTTTTTATATATAACATTACTACACATTTTTTATCGTTTTTAGGTTGGTGGGGATATCAGCTCAACTGTCATCTATCAGATGAATCATTTCGGACGTATTTCTGTTTGTGGATCTATTTCGTCTTACAATAATATAAATGAAGCTGAAGGTAAAAAAAAAATCAATAACGCTTTCTAAAATATTCAAAAATAAAAAAAAAACTTATAGATGTTGGTCTCCGTTAACTCTTTTAAAATTGTTTCCCACTCTCTTGAAAGGAATACCAACTGCTAATGGTTGCAAGAGTCCCAGTGGTTTTATAGCTTTTTACCCTTTTTAGATTGGTAGTATCTGCTTCCTTTGACATACTTCTTTTGTAACTTGGGCCTGTAATATCCTTCTTTAATCTTTACCAGCGTCTATGTGACTCCTTGATGTCCTGTTGTAGAGTTATTATAGTGTGAACCAAATCTCTTCTACCCAATGTTTTAGAATAACGATTACATAAAATAGTGCCAATAAGTATAAAGTTTTTCAAATTATGTGACCATGTATTTTTTTTAGATATTCTTATTCAGTTCCCTCTAGTCTTCAAACAGCTGAGGATGGAAGGTTTTAACGTTTCTAGATGGGCCGGTGATAGATATATAGAAGGAATAAAACAGAATCTTCAGTGGATCAAAGAAGGAAAATTGAAGTGTCGAGAAACTGTGACAAACGGATTTGAAAATATGTTCGATGCATTTACAGAAATGCTTAAGGGGAAGAACGTTGGCAAAGCTGTTGTTAAAGTCTAGATAGAATAAATTGTTAAGCTTGTTTTGTGCTTTATTTTACAGAGGTAGTAGAACCAAATATATTGAATTTTGGGAATCTGTTAGAACGAAATTAAAAAATATTGATTCATCCACTTATAGAAAAGTTATCACCGAATATATCCTTTCTTAACAATTTTTTGTTGTTAAAAAGCCCATAATTACGTTTTTAATAAACATAAACACTACATACGACAATTATTTTCCAAAGTATTATCATTTAAAATAAAAATGAATAATATTTATAGATAATAAATCATTAGATGTTATAAAATTTAAATAAAATGTGTTGCTCATGGTTAAAGGAATTAGTTATTGGGTTTTTTGACTGTATTTTCCTTTGTCTAAAAGGGCTATTTTATCATGTCATCCCTAACATACTTGAGATATTTAGGGTTTGTCGCTGAAGATGAAGAAATTTAGGTAAATAGATTTTCTTTATAATTAACAACATTTTTAATGAATGTACATTTTTAGATTTGAAGTCATTCAAGTAAAGAAAATTAACAATTAACTATTAAATGTGTAATTTTTATAATGC